GGGCGTGGTGGGAGGCAGCAGGGGTGGCGGGGACCTGGCCAGCTGGGCAGCGTGTCCCTCGTCCGAGGGGATAGACGTCGCTCGACCCGCAGCAGTGGTGCGTCCAGTGTTGCCACAACTTGTGATTTTTTAAAAGGAGCCAGAAGTTTGCATTTTTATCTGACATTCCGTGATTTTTAAATACTTTTAAATCAACGAATTCCAATGCTTAAGAAGTACCATATGGGTCAAATGTAGCTTATTTGCAAGCACGGACTCTGGACTGTGGCCTCTGAGCCTGAAGGGGAACCCAGGCCAGGGTTGGGGACAGGCTGCGGGAGGGGGCCCAGCCAGGGTGGCCTGGGATGGGGGGCTCTGGCTGCACAGCGGGGTGGGTGGTGGGGGCAGAGGTGGGCACTGCATCTTTGAATGGGATCAAAACAGGACCCTAGGGTGAGTTTGGACCTAGAGGCTGCACAGACCCTGGCTCTTCCGGGCTGGGGGTGGGGAGGGGTCAGTAGCCACAGCCTGGGGGCTGGGAAGGGCGTGCAGCTTGGTCGAAGGCAGGCTGACCCGGCCTGTACCCCGGCACTGTCGTTCCCACGGTGAAAACACTGAATGCTTTTGAAGCGGTTGGGAAATCGCCACGAGGCCCCGAGCTGCCTCCTCCCACCTGCTGGCCAGCTTCCCCTACCTCGCGGTGGTCAGGTAAGCCAAGCGCTGACTCCCAGCACGGCTGGGCCCTGCGCGTTCTGATTGGTCAGTGGGCAGCGCCTGAGCCCCAGTGACCCTCACTACCCTCCACCCGCGCTGCAGGTGACAGGTGCCCGGCGGGTTGGCTCAGACACAAAGGAGAGCTTTTAAGGGGCACAGGGGAGTCAGATGGAATTGGAGGGCAGCGTGCCAGGCCCCCGAGGGACTGTGTGACCTTGCCCTCTGTCCCTCTCTGCTCCCTGGAGCGCCTTGCGAAAACGGCCACTTTAGTCCTGAGGCTGGTGTGTCCTAACCACGTGAGATGTTTGAGCCAACATCCGCCTCTCTGCCAGCCGCCCGTGTCCGGGGCAGAGGGGCATCTCAGAGTGCAGGCGTGCCCATCTCGCGAGGGTCGGCGGAGCCCCCGCCACCTCTGCCTAACCGTAAAGAATCAGGCCTGCGCCCAAACTTGCCCGGTCAGCCCTCCTCGTCCTGGCAGGCTCGGCCCGTCCTGCGTGGCTCCCTCCTAGTCACCTTCCCGGGCAGTGCGGGCCCCGTGCGGGGTGCTGGGTGGTTAGCGCTGATGGTCACAGCTCACTGACCTCGTTACATGCCGGCCGCCGTGGAACGCTGGGCTGGGGGACCCTAGCGGGTCACTGCTCCTCTCTGTTTCCTCATCCATAAGTTGGGGGTCGTAAGTGGTACGTGCTCCATGGCGATGCTCTGAGGGTGACCTAAGTTACCGCCTGGTTCATCCCTGAAAACAGCTCCTGGCAGGACTCAGCGCTGAGTATTAAGTCGCGTGTTAGGTGTTCACTGAGCTTCTGTACGCCGCATGCGACGTGCGCCCCGGGGTACAGCGGTGACTGCGGTTCCCTCAAACCCGGCTGCAGGTTCGGTCACTTCCAGTTCTCACCATCTTCCCGCCGGTGGGAGGAGGAGAGGGCCAAGGGGCCTTGAGGGGGAGTGACTTGGAAGCACACGCATCCCGTGGGCCAGAGCCTCGCCGCCAGGCCCCGCCCGCTGCAGGGGAGGCCGGGAAGCGTGGTCTCTGCCTGGGCAGCCTTACCCTGTGCCAGAACGCGAGGGCCCTGTCATCGAAGGGGAGAGTGGACGCCGGCGGGGTCCTAGCTGTCTCCGCCCCAAGCTGCGGTCCGTTCGGTGGACCTTGGACTCCGTTCTGTAGGTGACGAGGTGCGAGCACATGGCGTCCAAGTGGGAGGTTTCGTGCCCGGACTCGGGTTCTCGATCTCTCCGGACGCTTGCTCGGAGGATAAAGGGGGAGAAACGGAAGTGAGGGGACCCGTTTAACTGCCGCGCCTGTCACTGCGTTCTGCCGTCTCTGGGGTCCTCTGCGCAGGCGGGAGTCGGGAGGCGGGGTCTTGGGTGGGGGTCTCGCAGGCACAGCGCGTGGGAGGGGAGCGGTCAGGGGCCTGAGTCTTCGCCCACCGTTCGTCAGGCACCGTGTCTGGGCCTGGGGCTCAGTCAGCCCCGACAGGCACGATGGACGCTGGGGGCTGACCGCGTGGGGGTGAATACGGCCCCCCTGACGCTGGTCTCTTCTGTCTCTCTCCCTTGGCCTCAGGACCCCCGGAGCAAACACAAGTTCAAGATCCACACGTACTCCAGCCCCACGTTCTGCGACCACTGCGGGTCCCTGCTCTACGGGCTCATTCACCAAGGGATGAAGTGTGACAGTGAGTACCTCTGCTCCCCGCTGTCTCTGCCGCCTGGGCTGCTTTCTCGTGGGCTGGGGTTCCCAAGTCCTGAGCGGGCTGGCGAATAACGAACCTCGCACCCCAGAATGTAGCGGCTTAAACGGTGACCACTGGTTTGGGCCGAGATTCTGCAGGGCCGTCCTTTGGGTCTGGGCCGGGCTCACCCATGCTTGGAAGGTGGGTGGGTGGGTTGACTGGGGCCTGTCTGGGCCCAGAAGGCTGACTGTCATCTGGGGGATGGGGACGATGGGGCCACATGTCCTTCACTCTGCACGGGCGAGCCTGGGCCTGCTTGCACGCTCATACAGAGGTTGTAAGGTCCCAAGTGCTTTAAGAGAGCAGGTCCCATTGATCAAAGCAAATCACATACATGGCCAGGTTCACGGTCAGTGTGGGAAGGGACAGTCCACGGGTGTGGACACGGGGAGCTGTGGACAGATCAGGCTGTTCCTGCAGCCACGGCTCCCGCCATCGACGTGCAGGCCCGTGCCTTCTTTGCTCAGAGAAGACCCCCCCACACCCACGGGCTCACCATGGGAGCGGGCAGAGACCGTTTCTCTGGCACGGCCCGTGGGGCGGGGGAGCGAGCAGGCATTGGGAGCTGTGGCTGCACAGGGACAGGGGGCCTCAGTGTGCTGGTGGCTCCCAGCTGTCGGCCTGCAGCAGGCTGAGCTGTCTGTCACAGGGTCCTGAGGCCCAGAGGACAGAGGGACAGAGAGGACTGTGGGAATGGATGAGGTGAGTGAGCGAGAGATGGAGATGCACATTCAAACACAGACAGACAGGTGCGGGGGACCGGATGACACACGTGCCCAGGCACGGGGAGAAATGGGGCGACAGCTCCACAGGGGCTCAGCCTGAGGGAGACTCAGGCAAGAGAAGGGACAGACGGACAACAGAGAAATGGTGGGGAGCGACACAGAGAGGTGCGCTCAGCCAGGCCCGTGCGGGGGTGACACAGACGGAGAGGGGCAGAGACGTGACAGGCACAGAGTGAAGCAGCCCGTTCATCGGTGTGGCCCAGGCAGTGACAAGGGGCAGAGACGGGACGGAGACACCAGCAATGTGAGCACGGACACACGGACAGACAGACGCGGCCTGAGCCGCGGGGACATGTGGTGGGCGGGCCCCCCAGTGGACACACGGCGAGAGTCATCCATGCCCATGCCCTCCGCCCGGGGCCCACAGATCTTCTCGGCAGGCATGGGGATGGTGCCCTTGGGTCAAGGACAGGGGTGGCTGGATGGGCGGGAGCTGGGGCTGATGCAGGGCCCTGAACGTGGACCCTCCGTCCCAGAGGCCCTCCCTTCTCTCTCGGGCTTTCACTCCCCACGAGGAGTGTCCAGTTTCGCAGTGTGCCTGCTGCCTCCAGGAGCCTGGGCGGGCTGAGAAGGGGCCCCCTTGGCACACCCTGCCCTGGGGGTGCCCGGCAGCCTCGTTTCTGTGGACATCCGAAACAGAGCCCCATGGGCTGATTCAGCCTCTCCCCCAGAGGCTTAACCTGGAACGGGGTCCTGCATAGAGAATGCTGGGTCCCCATATCTTTTCTGGAGCAGCCACTGCTTTTCCCGGAGACTTGGGGAAACCCGGCACCCACTGAAACACACGGTTGCTCTTGGAGAGTGTGCAGGACAGCGGTGTCTGTCAGCCAAGTGGCTCCAGACATCAGGCGCCAGATGCAGGGACCGGCATGTTCCAGCCCTCTCCCTGCGTCTAAACTCTGTCCCGTGGTTAGTTTCCATGGATACCGTGGGGGCCCTGCCCAGATCCTCTGCAGTCCTGCGGGCCCCAGCCGCTGTGGGTGCACAGCTGTACCCCAGGTGGGGAATTGCCCTTGGGGTATCCTGGAGATGGCACCCCTGCCAGAGGGTGCTGTATGCCAGGAGCTGGCAGCCGCGCGGGCAAAGGCCTAGCCCTCTCGCCTCAGTTTGGGACAGCGGGGCTGGGTCATCGCGCCCAGGTGCCCCCCCTGACGGTCAGCCTCAGCCATCAGCGCGCCCTGCGACCACGCACTCGCCTCACAGCTGCTCGCAAACCCCTCCTCACGCCGTTTCCAGGGACCCCACCCTGTTAGTGGTCCATATTAAAATCAGGATGTCACGTACACATCGGGGTTCCCGCTCATCTTGATGAATGGGAAGCGGGGCCGCCATGGGCACACACCGCCCACGGCTGTGCCGCAGTGGCTGCTGTGTCCTCCGGTCAGCCGAGTCTTGTCACCCCGACATCAGCCCCTACTTGCGTTACGGGTGCCCTGGCTTTGAAGTTGGTGATGCTGGCTTTGGAGCCCGTGGGCGTGTGCGGGGTGCACCCCTGGCCTTGGAGGAGGACAGACAGGTCCCATCTCCTCTGTCCATCAGGGCCCGGGGGAAGAGCCACAGAAGCCCATCTGATGTGACAAGGACAAGACAGGCTGGTCTGGGCCCAGCTTGGGGGTTTCAGACGGGAGGGGTCCCCGGGTGGGGTCCCCGGGTGGGGACAAGGCCAGCCTGAGCCTCGCCCCTCCCGCCCTGCAGCCTGCATGATGAACGTCCACAAGCGCTGCGTGATGAACGTGCCCAGCCTCTGCGGCACGGACCACACGGAGCGCCGCGGCCGCATCTCCATCAAGGCGCAGATCGAGAAGGAAGTCCTCACCGTGGTCGGTAGGTGGCGCTGCGGACCTGCGCAGTCCGTGCTGTGTCTGC